CTCTCTCCCTCTCCCTCCCTCTCTCTTTCTCTTTCTCTCTTATTCCCCTGTGCGTGCTTCCGTTTCGTTAACCTTAATGCACCAAGTCTTTACGTCATCGTTTTTCTCAACTGCGTTCCTTTTTTCCTCCCCCCCTCGTGGTTCGATTATTCGCAAAAAAACGGATGCCCTCGTTCCGAAATGTCTTCCTCCTCCGGGCGGATGATATCGCTCTTCTTTTGGGGAGGGGGAGGGGGGAAAATAAGATAACTTGTGGTGAGAATACTTTTAATCGTTGGTGAAATCTTTCGATTCGAGGTTATTTGTTATTGGTTATCGTAATGGAAATTGAATATGTCTCATTAATTTCACTAATTTTTTAAATTGTTGCTCGGTTTTAATTTTCGTCGAGATTAAAGATGGATCTAGTTTTTGAAGTTTCTGAAGTTTTGACTTATTTTTTTCAATTAAGATAATAATGGCCATCTGATAGTGAAAAGTTAAATTAATAAACATGAGAAAGTCTTTTGATTTGTCTTTCGAAGGTGTCCAAGTTTAAAGAATTGAAAGAGGTTATATTTTGACTGGAAATTCAAATCCCATTTCAAATAAATCACTTGTTTCTCTTTAAATTGGAACTGCACGATTCGACTTCCATTTGGAACATTTTTCCCTAAAATGATTAGCTATTAGGGAGGGGAGAGAGAAATTCAACAAGTTAGGGATAATTTCGAAAAGTGACACGAAAATAATTCACTTCGTTTTAAAATTTTACAATTAACGTGGAAAGTAATATAGAAACGGTCACGTGCTTCCCTCAATATTATTTCCAACTGTTTAAAAGTTGCGCGGTTAAACGTTAATGGATTAGCTAATTTAATTTCGTGGCAACGTTGCGTAAGTGGTGATAAGTAGCTCGCATTAATCCATTACGTATTATTAAATATTGTAATGAAGCGAACGTTACGTCTTAAACCTTATCTGAAAATCAGCTAGTTAATAATAATAATAATAGGCCAATTGCTTCTGTTTTAAAATTCAAATTTTACCTTTATTATATAGTGCATAGATAAAACGTTAATTGCATGGTATCTGATTCCTCGCGTTACGTGTGTCGCGTTTCAAGTATCTTATCAACAATTTTTCAATTATTTAATGTTTCAAAAATTCCTTGTTTTATGTAAAATAATAATTTTTTGTTGTTGATAAAATTTAATTTTCAAACGTGCAAGAAATGATATTTTTATTATTTTTATGAAGTTGCAAAAATTACTGTTGAAATTACAGTTTTTACATATACATATAATTCTTTTTTGAATTCATCTATTCCTCTCTGATCGTGGAATCATGGAACATATGACTGCGCAATTGTATAAAAAATAATATAATTTTTCTTTTGATTTAGTAACTCGTTGAAATTTTAATGGCGATTTTTATGAATATCTGTGAATATTAGACTCGACTAATTTAACTCTTAACAATTAAAATTTTACAATCGATTATTTTTTTATTTTTTTTACCGATATTTATTTTTATCGAATATTTATGATACGTAATTAACCTCAATTTGAACTTGAATTAAAGAGTTAGGTCACTAATTTTTATTGCTAATTACCAATAATTTCAAATTCAACATTTACATAACCTCAATTTTTCAAAAGTTAAATTTTAGGTTAGAACAAATTTAACCATTCGATATTCCAATTCGAAGAAACATTTTATCTTTATTTGTTAATTTTTAAAAATTATTAATTACAATTTCATCAATTTTAATATGAATTATTCGTATAAATATTTGTACAATCTCAATTTCAAAAATTAAATTAAATTATAGATTTGAATGATCTCGCAAAATCTCACAAATTTAGAAAAATGAAAACGATTCGATATATCAATTCGAGAGAACGTTCTTATCAATTTCTCAATACGAAATACATATATATATATATTTGTCCAAAAACTCGTTTGGAGAAACGAACGCGGTAGAAAGTTCACTTTGACCGCGATGCACGGCTAGATAGCGTGTTGCATGTGCATCGCGCGGATAGGGTCGAATGTAATCAACTCGAAGCGGGTCGCGACACGGACGAGTCGAAGCCTTTCGTGACTCGACCACGTCCGGCTCGCTGTTTTCGAGTTGATTCGGTTCCGCGCGATCGAAATTACTTCGTGCTATTCAACCAAGGCTCTCGAGATTTTCCACGATTGCGGTTGCGAAAGGACGTCCGATTTCTTAACCCGGTAAATTAATGGATCCTATTCAATGCAAAACAACGTGTAGAACGGGATTGGACGGTTGGACGATCGAGCGAATCGTATTTTTTTTCTTTTCTTCTTCGTTTGAAATTTGTACGTGTATTGATGAGGGATAATGGTACATAAATATGGTTTGAAAAATAATTGTTGATTTTATGAATTTACGAAAATCGATTTTTTAAAATTAGAGAATGTTTTTAATGTTATACATTAAAAAAATTCGTTTTCGTATCTAGTTAAAAAACTTACAATTTTAATACGATAATTTCTTAAAAATCTTGATTTCTCACATTCGAGAGAATGATTAAAACTATCGAGACTTAATATGTAAAAACTAATGACGGTGCATAAAATAATCAAGTCAAGTTTGTGTCACACGCGATAAACGCGATTCGTAAAATTTCCGCAAAACGGCAATTGATGGACGGAGTGAATAACAATTTATTCGATGTCATTAAATACCGCGGATATTTGCCAGGAACATTATTCGACCGATATTTGCGTTACAAGGTTATTTAATGTTCGTAACAATGGGAAATTATTGTTTCCGCAAAATACTATACTCGATGCAAATCGTCCCAAACACATCGTGTATTTCGTTATACGATCAACAATGCCAGTTGGCTGTGATATCATTGACACGCTGTAACGTTCCGATTTAACGACTTTGATCCTTCGATCTGTGCGCATGCGTGGTTACTACGTAGTTCGTAGCAAATGGATACACTGTGAATGTGATATTTTTCTTTTTCGGATGGATATTATTGCGAGAGTGGTATAATAATTGTGGAAAAATTAAGGAAACGAATAAATTATGTATGTGTTAAGTTTTAAAATATTCGTGGTAATGGATTTTAGAGTTTTTTCGGAAGTGTTAAAAATTTACGTCGAACCTAACCTAATCTAATCCAAATACATCAAAGAAAAAACTCTCGAGAATTGTTTTCGCTACCTAATGAAAGCTAAAAAGTATGTTTGAGACAAAATAAAAGTGGATCCAGTAATTAATTTGTAAAGTTCGTGAGAATGTGACAATTTTCATTCAATTTGCTTAAATTTTACATGACGATACTTAGTAGTGTTAGTTTCATAAATAAATAAATAAATTTAATAAGATTCGTCACGGACAAGTGCGCGTGATTACGTTAAATTCCATTTTAAAGCTTTTATAACTACATTAATATCAGAACTATCTCGTCTCTAAACTAGTTTTAGATTACGTGATTTCGTATGCACTGAGCACAGGATTCGATATCCAACGATACATTTGCCGCCCGTTAACTCAGAAGAGTCATGCATAATAATCGTCCGGTATTGGATGCGAATCGAGAGAAACTGTAATTCCTCCAACTTGTCACGAATTACTAACACATAGCCGGTTGTGCTCGCACACAGGCTCAGATGAGCGCAGATGCCAGCGATATCGAAATTATCAGAGAGATGGCGTGTCTGGGATCAATAGGTGGCTCTAATTTCAAAACTCTCTCGTGCATAAAGTAGCTTGCATATTGGCAGAATGGTTTCGCCCCCTTTATTAATTCCGTCTGTGCCCGATCTTTATGCGATTGATTAAATATATCGTGATGGATGAAAAGCGGTGTTCCTTTGAAAGAGACGATGGTCGATTGTAAATTATGTCGTCTAACCTAAAATTACTCGTCGATATTGTTAATATCCATGAAGGTAATGCAACTTTCTTATTGATTTCGTCCATCTTATTTAGATGTGAGATAGTATTTTCACGTCACGTCAAAGATATTATTGAAATTATTGTTACGAGTTTTTATTATTTAAAAAAATCGCGTAGAAAAGAATTTTTTTCGCGTAGAAATTTTTTCAATAGATTTTAATTTTTTTTTTTACGTAGATTAATTTTAATTTTTAAAAAAATTAAACATGCGCGGATGTTTCTGAAAAGATTAATATATTTGGAATATTCATGTATTCATATTTTTTAATAGTTGAATAGTGAATGATTGGATGGAAAACGCTGGAAATAAAATATGCAAATTGAAGCATATTTGCATCAAGTAAGCATCTTGTATGTTGTTGCATGTAATTGCATATTCTTCGAATGTTTATAGACGTTGTTCATAGTCAAAAGATTAAGTATCTTTTAAAACGTGACTTATAATAAAGAAATGAGTTAAAAGTTTTATATCGACATGAACATACGTACATATTTTTTAATAGTTAGACAGAGAATAATTGGATAATAATTCGTTATAACTTGTGATAAATCTTATAAATATTTATAAGATTTATTTTTAAGGATGAATCAAAGTGCATAAATAAAATTCAGATTATTGTACAATAATATTCTATTATTAAATGATTAATTCCATTTTATTAATATTAATAAACCGATCACAACGATCAATGAAAAAATTAAACGAATCTTTTCATTTTCATCCCGTTTGACATCTCGTTTCATTATCACGTTATCACGACCAAGAATCGATAGAAGTGTCTGTATTAAAATTCGATAACACGATTCCCGTATTCACGTTGCCTAAGCCAATAATCGAGGCTCATTCGATTTTAATGCTAAATTATTCTCGGTGGGCCCCCAACGTAAAACGAAGAACGAATGTTAAACCGCGCAGCCTTTCCACGGATTAATATTTGATCGCGGATACGATAAATTCTCGGCGCTCTGTAATTGATAGCGAATAATTTGGTAATCCTACGATAACAACCGAACCGATCCCCGTGTCCCTGCCACGGATTGCATAATTAATTCGAGCGTTATCTTTCTGTTTCAGGTGAGTCTGAACCGTGGAGAAAACGAACGAGCGCTCTCTTTGCCTGTTATGCGCTTGTTATTCGATGTCGATACGCTTTAATACACAACTCTCACAATTAGGTATGTACTCTCTTTGATAATGATTATCTATTCTTTTCGAATCGATTTGTTTCTCGTAGGAATTTTGAATTTCCTGTCTTTTTATTATTATGCTTTTCGTTTGTGGTTCATATCTGAAAGTGACATCTGAAATAAAAAACTGCGTATCTGAAATGTAATAACGGCCAGTGCTAATGATTATCTAGTTCTTCGTCGATTTGAATTTTGAATTTCGCGCTCTTTTATGTTTTCGTTTATTTATCGATATAATGGAACGAATTGTCTCATTTAAATTTATTAACAAAAATTAAACGTTATAGACATACGATTATAATTAATGTAACATTACAAAAATTAATTAGATTTGTATAATTTGCGTCAATCGCAAAAATAGAGAATTAGACTAAAACTAATATTTTTTTCTTTTTAATACAAAAGAAAATGAATAAGAATTTTTTTCGCTTTTTTTACGAATCTTTCAATATTAAAAAATTGTAAAATGATGAAATGAAAGAAGATACATTCGTCTTCTAACGAATGATTTCAATTTCGTAATCGAAGAATTCGGTTTAATATATAATTATTTTACGAATAGCGTAACCTTTTGTATCCGAACAATGTGCACGTACATCTCGGTGATTCATTGTTCGCGTCCCAATCGTAAATCGTCTATCGTGTAGCAATACATTTCTTATCGTAACCAATTGCGTTTGATAAGATTCGAACGATGAAATTGATTTCCATGATACGTATGCAGGTAAGCGTTTCAAGTTCGGCCGTTGATTTATTTTTTGGCCACGTGAAACTTTTTTAATTGGCATCTAAAATACCATTTTTCCTCCTACTTCTTATTTTTCTTTTCCTTTTTTTTTTTTTTTTCCTTTTTTTTTTTTTTTTCCTTTTTTTTTTTTTTTTCCTTTTTTTTTTTTTTTTTTTAAATCGATATGTTTCTTCGCGAGAGAAAAATGAGGGGAAAAAATATATAAAATTACGAGATATTCAACGTTCGAAAGTTAATACTCACTTTTTTCCTAATTTTTTTATCGACTAATGAATAATTTCATTTATGCATTTAAATATGTTATATTACCCATGCTCATAGAAGTATTCGTACTCTGCAAAAATTTAATGATTTTAATTTTGTTAAACGACATATGTGACAATTTTTTTAAACAGAATATTATTTTAAAGAGATGAAATTAATCAAAGTTTCAAAATATTTTTCGTTTTCTTTTAAATATCCTAATAACGGAAGAGAATGGATTGATGAAAATTTTGAAATTATAAAATGTTCAGCTTGCAATCCTTGGTTGAAATTTGATCCAAAAAATTTTTCCATTGTATCATACCCATTGCATTATATATTATTAAACTTTCAATAAAATCAGAATAAATAGGATACGAATGATTGATTGTTACAACGTTATTTTCTCTTCCAAGTAATCTTTAAGTGAGATTAAGTCGTCATTTAACCATATACATTATATCTTCCACTGAAACTGATGTTGAATCTTAAGCTTGTCGTAAATCCAATCTTGATGCTCGTTGAGCATTCAATAAAGGTTATGTTATTCATTCAAGGTTGCATTATAGATACTGGCAATATATCTTCTCCTCGGTGCAATGGCGGAGGAAGATTCTTCCCGGCATAAATGATGCTTGACTTAATAGTGACTGATGAAAAAACTCATAAGCGCGTAAATCTTAGAAATTGAATTTTGTATAAATCTATTATATCTCCTGTTCTACACGGATCATTGTCTTCCACAAAAAAAAAAAATTAATTAAATCTAATTCATTCTGCAAAAATTTAATTTAAAATAACGCGCAAGTATAACCCAGAAATCTGGATTTCATCCATTTCTCTGTATAATTAGACATTGGTTGGTGCATCGTAATAGCATCTAATTATCACGAACATACGTACATACGAGGAAAATTTAATACATTATAATAACTGTCCAAAACAGTTCCATAACTTTTCTCCATAATTACCGAAAATCGATTTTATCACGCTCTATCACGGCTTGGTCTCGATTATAAACCCTTCGACCTGATGAAACTCAACTTTCATCGATCAAACATTATTCGTTCAAACGACGCGCAATCACGCGGCTCAACTTTATTCCTATTCTATACCGTGTAATGTCTCTTCTGTGCAAAATTTAAATCGTAATTTAATCAAGTTAATCACTATTGACAATTCACCGATTACACCGTACAAATGAACATGGTATCTATGTCGTTACAATCACAAAATTTATTTGTACAAAATTTGATACTCGAAAAAGAATTATTTAAAGAATAAGAATAAATCTTTATTTTTGATCGTGATTCAGTTAAATTTCATAAAATTTCGACTATCGTATCGAACAATGAAAAATAACTATTCTCCAAAATGGCTTCGATTATCTCTTCAATTACCTCTTCGTAATTGACTCCTTCGATATATTATATCCACTCTCTTATTCCTGTATCCTCTTCGAGATTTAAAACACGACACTATAATAATAATTAATAATTAATAATAATAATAATTAATTGACCATTACATCCGAACAAATAATTGAATAACACTATCATTCTTCCACGCTGTCATTAACATTAAAGAAAAACTCTGTTCCCTCCCTTCAGACAACCAAGTTAAGTCGACAAAAACCGCGGTATCTTTCCACGAGTTGGGCTGAATAATCCAGAATAATTCGCACAATGGGTCGACTTTTCTTCGTATCGAATGGTAATCCCTGAAGGGGAGGTGCGGGTCTACATTTTGGCAGAGCCCCCTTTGGCGGCCCGTTACTTGCTCGCGATGAACCGATTCTGGCCGGGTTCCACGCTGCCCCCGAAGGAACAAGCTTCTTCTTTCCGCTCCATCGGGGCTCCTGTCCAAAGCAGAGAGAGAGAGAGGGAGTGGAAAACGCTTCTTAAAGAGTTTCGAGAAACGAGGATGGGTGTAAAGGTTAATTGGCCGAGGATGAGGGTGCACGATATAAGGAGACGTTTGTGAAGTGGAAGACAGGGGGTTGGGGCTTAGTTATGCGTATTGGAATTTTTAAAAAAATTAATTATAGGGGTTTAGGATTAGGATGAGTAATTTTGAAAATTATTTGGATGGATTGTTTGTTTTTCAATGAATTATATTAGAGAGGAAAAAAGTATTTGTATATTTGATTTTTTGGTTTTTAAGTAAGTGATAATGTGTAATATAATCTTGATTTAGTTTAGGTTATTTACTTGATATTTATAAATTTGCAATTGCAATAAGTATGCAAATTAATAAAATACAATATAATTAATACAAAAATTTTCATATTTAATACGTTCAGATTTCATTGCACATTTATTTATGAAATAAAAAGACATTTAATAACACACATAAACAAAAAGCGAATTTGCCCGCAAAACAATAAATTCTTTATAGACTTCAATTTTTCACCAGGCTTTTTATAAGTAAGTTTTTTCACAGCCTATCAGGAATAAACATTAGCAACAAAAAGATAGTTACCAGATCGCGTTAACATCCAACAACAAATTAAAAATTACACAAGCGATCCATCCTTATTTACCTTTCGAATCGATAAATACTCCTCTTTCCCCCAATTTTTATATCCATTAATATCAATGGGATTCTCAATTATCATCCTCTCAATTAAAATTTCCATCTATATACCTACTGTCCTCTTT